AACAAGGCCGTCAGTGCGTGTTTACATACAGTGTCGGAGAGAAGACCCTGAGAGCGTCTCGAAGTCACAGTGTCTAGAAGAAGGCCCTGAGTGCGTCTGCTAGATACACCTATCGTGGATAAACGAAGTCCCTGAGTGCGCCGTTTATTCACAACCCAACGTATAAATAACAACACCGATCAGCGGTCCTTCATCATTGGTGCTCTCGTTGAGAGTTGTTTCATTGAGAGGTGCTGATCGTGTTTTTATTTATCGTATCTTTTCTTTTTTTCGGTTTGCCTTTTGCTGAGGGGCCGAATTTCTCTTTATTTTTTGTTGGGGTACGAATTTTTGTTCGAATTTTCCCTTTTATTTTTCGAAATTTAGCCTTAAAAAAAAAAGTGTCATCTTGTTAGTCCTTTGTTTGATTTTTTTCGGTTACTACCTTTGGTTGAGGGGCCGAATTTCTTTTTGTTTCGATTTTTTGAGTCTTGTTGGGGGTTTGAATTTTCGAATTTTTCCCCTATTATTTTCGAATTTTTTAGAGTCAAAAAAAAAAGGAGTCATGATGTTACCATTAGTTGAGTGGGATCAAGAGGATCTTGCATATCTTGAAGGTTTAGAGAGGGAATTAACCCCTTGGGAGCAAGAGTATTTGGCGGAGATGTACGAGCAAAAGGATGAGTATGAAAGACAACTCAAGATCAGCGAGGAAGAGATCTTGCTCGTGGGCGAAGAGGGTGAAGCGGCGCACATCGACGGTGAGGCCGAAGGAGTCGAAGGGGCCGAGGTCATTGGTGCGATCTTGGTCGTGGGTGATGGGTGCAAAACGTGCGTGCGGAAACAGCGCACGCAACACATCGAGGTCATGGCCGGAGGATCCGAAGTGCTCGCAGTTGGAGAGGAGATGTTGGTCGCGGTCGAAGCGGGCCATGATGAGGAGTCGTACGCACAGTATGGTGTGGATACGCGTATGGTCAAAGAAAGAGTGCCCGATGTTTGGATGGACGAGGATAAATCCTTGAGGACAAGGAAAGTCTCGAAGAGGAGGGGAATGATACAGAAGTGAGTTCCGTACCCCTGTGACAAGAAGGGCCGAGGGCCGAGAGGACTCGAGGAGGCTGAAAATAGGGCCAAAATGATGCAAGCATGGCCTAAAAGACGGGTGCGAGCTCGTATGCAAGGCGCAATGACACGCAAGAAAAGGCGCATTAGAAAAGAGCAAGAATACGCGCATTGGCGTAGATGCGCATGGCGTTTGGAGGTCGGGAGGTTGGCGTACACGAGGGATTATAGCGAATGGACGAGCGCGTATCGGGCGCTAGACGATGCGCGGGCGGTGCTGGGCGCACGGGGGTGCGCGGTAGGCGAGCAGGCCGCGGGCGTTGGTGGTACGCGCGGAGCAGTAGGCGACGGACGTGCGGATCGCGCTGGGCGTACGGGTAGCGTGTACGCGGGTGAAGGCCTAGGCCCAGTAGGCCTAGGATTGGCGCGGCAACACACGCACAACGAAGCCAGTTGGGACGGGGCGTGCGCATGGGCGCACGAGTGCGACGCGGGCGATGGCCTATACCGCGTAGGCATAGGAGTGCTTGACAACGAGTACGGGGCGCACGGCGACACGCGCGAGGCACAATACAAGACTTGGGTGGCAAGCCTAATCCTCGTAGGAATAGGCAAGGCGCGAATACTAATCCTCGCAGGAATAGGAAAAGCAGTTGAGTGTCGGAACGCGCGTGGGAGATCGGTGATGGGAGTAATCCTCGGAAGATCAGGAAACGTAACCGAGAGCCTATTCCTAGTAGGAATAGGAATAGTGGATATGGGCTCGAAGCATGGTCCTATAAGGAATAGGAATGGCGCATGTGGGGCGCGAGACCTTAAGCCTTGAGGCGAGAGGACATGCACGCATGGGCGGACGAGATGCGTGGACGAGGCGCGCGCGTGATGACGGATCGTGTGTTCACCTATACGTGGTTGCGAATAAACGACGCACTGAGGCCTTCGTTTATCCCCGATAGATGTATCTAGCAGACGCACTGTGGCCTTCTCCTAGACACCGTGACTTCAAGACGCACTATTGGCCTTCTCTCCGACACTGCATGTAAAGACGCACTAATGGCCTTCTTTATCACACGTTAAGAACACAAGGTTCTCCCTCAAAATTGGCTCACCAATTCAATACTCAATTCAAGACATCTAATAATGATGAGGTACATGGGGTATTTATAGTTGTAGAAAAAAATCTAGGCCTAAATCTAATAGATCTCCTAAATCATGCAATAATAGAAATCCTAAGTCTAGAAAGCAATAAAATCCTAAACCTACCAAATAACTATTGCTTGGCTTGCACACCAAGCAAATCTAGAAGCTCCCTAAACTAAAACCCTACACTAAAAACTTCGGCCCTATCATACGCACGCCGCCTCACGGTCTCCGTCCCATGCGTCGCACGCGTTCACGAGTCCTATTCCTCGGCGGTCTCGGCGTCTTGCGCGCGGTCCTCATACGCGCGTGCTGTCGCGCGCGCTTCCTCGTTGCCGCATCCCGCCTGCGCGTGCGCTCCCCCGTCCAGCACTCCTACGCCCCCTAGGATTGGGTCGCTCGCGCTTGTGGCGTACTCGCGCGCTGTCGCGCGCCTATTGCTGCTGCTACCCGCATCCCGCGCGTCCTCGCCACTCCCGTGAGTATCGCGCACGTCTCTCGTTCCCGCGCCGCTCGCGCTGCCGTCTCGTGCCTTGCGCGTCGCGCTCAGCGCCCCAGCGCCCCGATCCCCTACCGTGCGCTCCCGTGCACCCGTTACCTTGCGCGTACCGCCAACCACCGTGGCCTGCTTGTCTACCGCGCACCCTATCGCGTCCATCGCATCCGATACCTGGCCCGGCACATATTCGCGCGCATCACGGCCCGATGCGCGCCCCACGCCCGATAGCCGATCTTCCTCGACCCTTCTGCCGCCCAGCTCCGTTGGCTCGCCCGTTGGCCATGGGTCCCATCCATCCATCCCGATGCAATCACCAACTCTCCAAATCCAACCGTCCTCCATTCTACTCGTACCTCCCCTTCGAGCCACCGTCTTGCGAACTCGCCTTTTCCTCGAACAAGGCTTACACCAACACTTCTCCTCTTTTGTCTCCACCTTGTGTATCCTTCGAGCTCGTCTGGTCTTGCTCCTCCTAGGCTTGAGCTTAGCTTGCGGACCACATCCCTTTGGCCAGTCTCTTACACATGATGGTCGATTATTCGGGTTTGATGGCTCTTCCAACACGTTTTCCAACCATAAAACGAGACCATCGTCGCCTTCATCGTTTGACTCCCCGGGGTTGATGACCACTTCCGTATCATTCCCCTCCTCTTCGAGACTTTCCTTGTCCTCAAGGATTAAGAAATTAAGCTCGCCTTCCCCTTCATTGTTCTCAACCACCATCGCGTCTCGGGCTCCCATGAGTTGACGCTCATACTCCTCAATATTCCTTCTCTCATGGAGCTCGTCTAAATATGTTGCCTCCCATGGTGTGAGCTCTCTTTCTAAACCCTCCAACATCTCAAGATCTTCCCAATCTAACTCATCCATTGGTGGGTAAGACATAATTTTTTTTTTTTTTTGAGACTCTAACAAAATTCGAAAAATAATAGGGGAAAAATTCGAAAAATTCGAACCCCCAAACAAGACTCAAAATTCGAAACAAAAATTAAATTCGGCCCCTCAACAAAAGGTAATAACCGAAAACAAAAAAACAAAGGACTAACAAGATGACACTTTTTTTTTAATGAAAAATTCGAATTAAATTCGAAAATTTCGACACAAAAAAAAGTAGAGAAATTCGGTCCCTCACCAAAAGGCAAACCGAAAAAAATAGAAGGATAAGATAGATAACCACACGATCAGCCCCTCTCAATGAAAGCACCAATGATGACGGATCGTGTGTTCACCTATACGTGGTTGCGAATAAACGACGCACTGAGGCCTTCGTTTATCCCCGATAGATGTATCTAGCAGACGCACTGCGGCCTTCTCCTAGACACCGTGACTTCAAGACGCACTATTGGCCTTCTCTCCGACACTGCATGTAAAGACGCACTAATGGCCTTCTTTATCACACGTTAAGAACACAAGGTTGCCCCTCAAAATTGGCTCACCAATTCAATACTCAATTCAAGACATCTAATAATGATGAGGTACATGGGGTATTTATAGTTGTAAAATAAATCTAGGCCTAAATCTAATAGATCTCCTAAATCATGCAATAATAGAAATCCTCAGTCTAGAAAGCAATAAAATCCTAAACCTACCAAATAACTATTGCTTGGCTTGCACACCAAGAAAATCTAGAAGCTCCCTAAACGAAAACCCTACACTAAAAACTTCGGCCCTATCATACGCACGCCGCCTCACGGTCTCCGTCCCATGCGTTGCACGCGTTCACGAGTCCTATTCCTCGGCGGTCTCGGCGTCTTGCGCGCGGTCCTCATACGCGCGTGCTGTCACGCGCGCTTCCTCGTTGTCGCGTCCCGCCTGCGCGTGCGCTCCCCCGTCCAGAACTCCTACGCCCCCTAGGATTGGGTCGCTCGCGCTTGTGGCGTACTCGCGCGCTGTCGCGCGCCTATTGCTGCTGCTACCCGCATCCCGCGCGTCCTCGCCACTCCCGCGAGTATCGCGCACGTCTCTCGTTCCCGCGCCGCTCGCGCTGCCGTCTCGTGCCTTGCGCGTCGCGCTCAGTGCCCCAGCGCCCCGATCCCCTACCGTGCGCTCCCGTGCACCCGTTACCTTGCGCGTACCGCCAACCACCGTGGCCTGCTTGTCAACCGCGCACCCTATCGCGTCCATCGCATCCGATACCTGGCCCAACACATATTCGCGCGCATCACGGCCCGATGCGCGCCCCACGCCCGATAGCCTATCTTCCTCGACCCTTCTGCCGTCCAGCTCCGTTGGCTCGCCCGTTGGCCATGGGTCCCATCCATCCATCCCGATGCAATCACCAACTCTCCAAATCCAACCGTCCTCCATTCTACTCGTACCTCCCCTTCGAGCCACCGTCTTGCGAACTCGCCTTTTCCTCGAACAAGGCTTACACCAACACTTCTCCTCTTTTGTCTCCGCCTTGTGTATCCTTCGAGCTCGTCTGGTCTTGCTCCTCCTAGGCTTGAGCTTAGCTTGCGGACCACATCCCTTTGGCCAGTCTCTTACACATGATGGTCGATTATTCGGGTTTGATGGCTCTTCCAACACGTTCTCCAACCATAAAACGAGACCATCGTCGCCTTCATCGTTTGACTCCCCGGGGTTGATGACCACTTCCGTATCAGCGCGTTACCGTGCGTGACTAGGAGTAGGCGTCCAAGGCAGCGCGCGATATGGCGGTTAGGGTTGAGGGGCGGCCGAATGGTGTGGAGTGCAAGGCAAGGAATTGGATAGCAAGTCAAGATATTAGGAGATCTAGTAGATTTAGAAATTTATGGTAGTAGAATATTTACTAGCCTTAGGATTTAATATTTAATTGTTTTATTAGTTTCCTAGTAAGATTAGCATTATAGATAGTTGGTACCTATTAATACCCCATGTACCTCATCATATTTTAAAAGTTGAATTGAGTATTGAATTGGTGAGCCAATTGAGGGAACTTTATGTTCTAACGTATGATAAACAAGGCCGTCAGTGCGTGTTTACATACAGTGTCGGAGAGAAGGCCCTGAGAGCGTCTCGAAGTCACAGTGTCTAAAAGAAGGCCCTGAGTGCGTCTGCTAGATACACCTATCGTGGATAAACGAAGGCCCTGAGTGCACCGTTTATTCACAACCCAACGTATAAATAACAACACCGATCAGCGGTCCTTCATCACAGCGCCCGTGCGCGTCCCAATAGCGCCCAGCCATGCCCCGACCGTGCCAGCGAGCAGCCCGGGGCCCGTCCCAAGCCTTATTTATATTTTTCCCGAACCCTTGTGTGTGCCTTTGACCTGTTTGACTTTGTTTTGCGTGCTAAGTCTATGTGTGGTGTTTATATGCATTTTTGGTCAAGTTAAGTGTTAAGTCCAAGTGTTCCAATGTCCATGGAACTTCACGAACTACTTGGTTGAATCAAGTTCGACCAATGTATGCTTGTGATTGTTCTCAAAGGTCAAATAGGTGTTGATCTTAGTATATTTATTGTTGTAGGTGTTTGACGAGCTGTGCTCGCTGCCTACTCCTGATTGTGTGCCACTTTCCTTTGCGGTACCAGGTGGGTTCTAATCTAAAATTGTCTATGCCATGGATGATGAATGTTCATACTTGTGGGTATGATCTATGTATGAATATAAAATATGTAGCCTATCGATGTGAGCTGTTACGGCCGTCGGTACGGTTGTCCCCGTCGATGTAATACGATTGCCCTTGTGAGGCAAGTCTCCTTAAGTCCTGATATGGTCGTGCCCTTGCGAGGTAAGTAAGACCATATGGAAGGCCGTGTCCGTAGCGTGGCATGTACTCCCGCCTTCGGGTAATGAATCCCTGTTCTGCGGCTAGCGATAGATGTGCACAGGAGTAATGTGGTTGTTGTATTTCTGATAGGAGATGAGACATGATGTGATTATCTTATATTCATGCTGTGACTATACCATTTGACATGTGTTATTTATGTGCATAGTAGTGAGTATTGTTCATTTTGTGCTCACTCCCACCTGCTCTTCACGGATGCAGGTTAAGCAGGTGTCGGATGACGGGGGAAAGACGAGTGGGTCGGTCTTGATTTATGTTTTATGATTATGCTTCCGTAATGAATAAAGTGTGGTCCTTGAGACGTATTGAACTATTTTCAAAACTTGTCCTTTTTTGGGTTATCGGACCCTTTGTTTAGATATTCGTATTGGAGTTATTTATTGAATATTATGTGTTTTCGATTATGCTTGCTATATTGTTTAGCTAATAATCATGTGAAATTGATGTTTTGGGTTAATGAAAGCCTTGTGAAAAATCTGGGTAATGAATACCCGTGGACCCAGATATGACTTGGGTTAAGTAAAATGTTGAATAACACCCATGTTTTCGAAAATGAGTTCAAAAAATTTTATACTGGTTTTGGAAAGTCCAGAATTTCTTTAAAATCAATGTGGGGTGTTACAGAACCAAGGCCATCGGGCGAGCAGCCGGAGTCGGTTGGCGACGAGGGTGCGAGCACGAGCAAGGAACGCGCATCGTGCCTTGATGCGCGCAAGTGGTCGAACGAGCAAGACGGTGTACGTGGGATCCACGGTCGACGATGGAAATATGCAGGCAATTGGTGCACGGGTCGAGCAACGCGATAAGGTGAGGCACACGGCATCGGGTGCACGCGGATGTGGAGTAGAGGATCGAAGCACGGAGGTTGACTGGACGCGTTGGCATTCAGCGGCAAAGTGACGGGAAACACGGGGTGCGCGAAGGGAGCACACGAAGGTGAAGGCCTAGGCCAGGGGGCCTAGGAAAGGCGGCAGCGCACGCGTGCGGAGAAGCCAGAAATGGCGCGGGGCTTGCGGGCAGCAGCGAGTGGACGTACACGGGCGAAGTCCTAAGCCGTGTAGGCTTAGGCGAGACGGGCGATGCGTTGGCAGGAGCAGACCGCGACCGCATAGGCAAGAGAATACCAGGCGACGGCACGTACGCGCGGGAGGATGGCAGCAGCGACGAGGAGCACGCGATAGCGCGCGAGTGTAGCGCAGGCGCGGGAGTCGTAGGCAGGGCAGGATTAGGCGACGCACGAGCGCTGGGCGCGCACGCGCAAGGTAAGGTCGGCGGACTGGGCGCGCGCGCGAAGGACGCCGCGTGGGAAGTAAGCGCGCGGGTTGCCGCGCGCAACGAGGAATAGGCGAAGCATGGCAGCGCGCGCAAGGGCGGCTTGGGTATGCACGCGCGCGACGCGTAAGAGGCGGTTCGAATAAGTTGGGGCGCAAGACTTGAGCATTCTAGAATTGTTTGGAGTGCAAGACAAGTAATAAGGAGATCGAGTTGATTTAGGATTTTATGGTAGTAGGATATTTACTTACCTTAGGATTTAATATTTTATTGTTTTATTAGTTTCCTATTAAGATTAGAACTAGAGGTAGTTGGCACCTATAAATACCCCATGTACCTCATCATAATTTTATGTCTAGTCTTGTCTTGAATTGAGTATTGAATTGGTGAGCCAATTGTGAGGGGAACTTTATGTTCTAATGTGTGATAAACAAGGCCGTTAGTGCGTGTTTACATACATTGTCGGAGAGAAGGCCATTAGAGCGTCTTGAAGTCACAGTGTCTAGGAGAAGGCCGATAGTGCGTCTGTTAGATACACCTATCGTGAGTAATCGAAGGCCCTGAGTGCGAGATTATTCACAACCTCGTATAGATAAAAATTCGATCCGTCATCATGGGTGCTTTCATTGAGAGGTGCTGATCGTATTTTTATCTATATATCTTTTTTTCTTTTTTTCGATTTTGCCTTTTGCTGAGGGGGGCGAATTTTTGTTCTTTTTTGTTCGAAATTTTTGAATTTTTGTTCGAATTTTTCATTATTTTTCGTGAGTCTTATTTTTTCGGTTATTATCTTTTGTTGAGGGGCCGAATTTCTCTTTTTTTTTCTTTGAAATTTTTTGGTTCAATTTAAAGAGTCAAAAAAAAAAAAAAATGTCTTACCCACCGATGGATGAGTTAGATTGGGAAGATCTGGAGATGTTGGAAGGTTTGGAAAGAGAGCTCACACCATGGGAGAAAATATATCTAGATGAGCTTCATGAGCGAAGGAATATAGAAGAATACGAGCGACAACTCGTAGAAGCCCGAGAAGCAATGGTGATCGATGCTCAAGACAATGGCGATGAAGGGGCGTTGAATTTTCTAGTCCTTGAGAACAAAGAAAGTCTCGAAGAAGAGGGGAATGATACGGAAGTGGTCATCAACCCAGGCGAGTCAGAGGATGAAGGTGGCAATGGTCTCGATATATGGTTGGAGAACATGCTAGAGGAGCCGACAAGTCCAATATACTGGCCATCATGTGTACGGGATTGGCCAAAAGGATGTGGTCCGAAGCTAAAGTTGAAGGAGAAGAAACGTATGGCTAGAAAGAAACGCAAGGCAAAGGTTAAGGAATCACGTTGTTGGTGCAAGCCTTGCACAAGGAAAAGACGAGCTTGGAAGATGGAGGCTAAAAGGTGAGGTAAGCACCTAATGGAGGATGGTTGGATATGGCGAGCTGGTGATTGTGTTGGGAAGGATGGAAGGTGCATTGAAGGATGGGACCCGTGGGACGAACCAAGGCCATCGGGCGAGCAGCCAAAGTCGGTGAACGCTCATTGTGCCTTGATGCGTGCAAGTGGTCGAACGAGCAAGACGGTGTACGTGGGTGCACGGTCGACGATTGAAATATGCGGGCAATTGGTGCACGGGTCGAGCAACGCAATAAGGTGAGGCACACAACGTCGGGTGCACGCGGATGCGGAGTAGAGGATCGAAGCACGGAGGTTGACTGGGACGCGTTGGTATTCGGCGGCAAAGTGACGGGAAACACGGGGTGCGCGAAGGGAGCACACGCGGGTGAAGGCCTAGGCCTAGGTGGCCTAGGAAAAGCGGCAGCGCACGCGTGCGGAAAAGCCAGCAATGGCGCGGGGCTCGCGGGCAGCAGCGAGTGGACGTACGCGGGCGAAGGCCTAAGCCGTGTAGGCTTAGGCGATACGGGCGATGCGCTGGCAGGAGCAGACCGCGATCGCATAGGCAAGAAGGTACCGGGCGACGGCACGTACGCACGGGAGGATGGCAGCAGCGACGAGGAGTGCGCGATAGCGCGCGAGTGTATTGCAGGCGAGGGAGTCCTAGGCGGGGCAGGATTAGGCGACGCACGAGCGCTGGGCACGCACGGGCAAGGTAAGGTCGGCGGACTGGGCGCGCGCGCGAAGGACGCCGCGTGGGAAGTAAGCGCGCGGATTGTCATGCGCAACGAGGAGTAGGCGAAGCATGGCGGCGCGCGCAAGGGCAGCTTGGGATTGTTTGGAGTGCAAGGGTGCAAGACTTGAGCATTCTAGAATTGTTTGGAGTGCAAGACAAGTAATAAGGAGATCTAGTAGATTTAGGATTTTATGGTAGTAGGATATTTACTTGCCTTAGGATTTAATATTTTATTGTTTTATTATTTTTCTATTAAGATTAGAACTAGAGGTAGTTGGCACCTATAAATACCCCATGTACCTCATCATAATTTTATGTCTAGTCTTGTCTTGAATTGAGTATTGAATTGGTGAGCCAATTGTGAGGGAAACTTTATGTTCTAACGTGTGATAAACAAGGCCGTTAGTGCGTGTTTACATACAGTGTCAGAGAGAAGGCCATTAGAGCGTCTTGAAGTCACAGTGTCTAGGAGAAGGCCGATAGTGAATCTGTTAGATACACCTATCGTGAGTAATCGAAGGCCCTGAGTGCGCGATTATTCACAACCCCGTATAGATAAAAATTCGATCCGTCATCAGGGGGGATAGGCGCGCGAGTGGACCGCATGCGCGAGTATAGGCCTATGCGCGGTAGGCATAGGCAACGGGTGCTGGCACGCACACGCGGGGGATAAGGCGGTGATGCTGGACACGCGCACAGGCGCGCGCGTGCGATGCGTGAAGGGCGCGCGACGTGAGGCGGCCGAAGGGATTTGGGAGCAAAAGACTTGGAGCTTCTAGAATTGCTTGGAGTGCAAGTCAAGCATTAGTATTATAGTAATATTAGGATTTTATTGCTTTTTAGTGTTAAGATTTATATTATTACAAGATTTAGGAGATCTAGTATAGTTAGGCTTAGATTTATTTTTGCACCTATAAATACCCCATGTACCTCATCATAATTTTATGTCTTGTCTTGAATTGAGTATTGAATTGGTGAGCCAATTGTGAGGGGAACTTTATGTTCTAACGTGTGATAAACAAGGACGTTAGTGCGTGTTTACATACAGTGTCAGAGACAAGGCCATTAGAGCGTCTTGAAGTCACAGTGTCTAGGAGAAGACTGGTAGTGCGTCTGTTAGATACACCTATCGTGAGTAATCGAAGGCCCTGAATGAGTGATTATTCACAATCCCGTATAGATAAAAATTCAATCCGTCATCATTGGTGCTTTCATTGAGAGGTGCTAATCGATTTTTTATCTATCTATCTTTTTTTTTGGTTTTGCCTTTTGCTGAGGGGGCCGAATTTTTGTTCTTTTTTGGGTCGAAATTTTCGAAATTCTTGTTCGAATTTTTCAATTTTTTCGTGAGTCTTAAAAAAAAAGTGTCATCTAGTCCTTTGTTTTGTTTATTCTTTCGGTTATTACCTTTTTGTTGAGGGGCCGAATTTCTCTTTGTTTGAATTTTTTGGATCGATTTATAGAGTCAAAAAAAAAAAGATTCATGATGGCAAACCGTGAAAGGATCCAAGCATTGGAGGATAATTTGAAGATCATTGGGGATGGTCAACATGCCACCAACGAGAACCTGGGAAGGATCGAGCTTATGGTCCATGATCTGGCCGGGCAGCTTACACGTATGAACACGCGACCACGAAGGGGTCACCGATCACGGTCCACAGCGTCAAGCACCAGGACCGAACACGAGGACGATCGCCAGTCCAAGGGCACACGTGCATCGCGCGCGGACCACCACGACGGTCGACGACGGCACGAAGGTCGTGCGCACCACAACTGAAGGCGCGAGGAGGACGACGATCAGCAGTCGTACGCATCGCACGCATCGCGGGCCACATGAGACGAGTGACGGGCACGACGTGATGACCGAGAGCGCTACGACGAGGATCGGCGACGGTGCTATGAGCGTGCACGACACCATCGCGACGAACACCACGAGGAAGGGGCAAGTACACGACCGAAAATTGTTATGCCCACGTTCACGGGAACAGATCCGGATGCATGGTTAAGTCGAGCTGTGCAATTTTTTGAGATCAATGATGTGCCAAGGTACGAAAGAGTTCAAATTGCTGCTTATCATCTTGATGGAGAAGAAAACGTATGGTGGCAATGGGTTTTGCACAAGAACCATGGTGAGCACATGCGTTGGAGGGATTTTGACAGGAAGCTCATCACAAGGTTTGGCTCGAGTGACTACCACGATTACAATGAGGCTTTGTCTAGAATTAAGCAAGTTGGTAGTATGAGGGAGTATCAAAAGGAGTTCGAGCGCATTGCTAGTAGAGTGCGAGATTGGCCCGAGAGTACGCTAGTGGGAACGTTTGTGGGAGGACTTAAGGCTGAGTTGGCAGCGGAGGTAAGGTTGGATAGGCCAGGATCGATGCGAGCCGCCATGGAGTCGGCTAGATTGCATGAGGATCATCTCATGGCTGTACAATAGGCGAGGTCAAGTGACGTGCGCACGGAGATTAAGTACACGCACGCCGCCACCGAAGAAAAAGTACCGAAGAGTGAGAACAAGCTGATGGGCATTACCGTGCGAACAACAAGCAATGTACGGCGGCTTACTGACGAAGAGATGCAGCGACGACGAGAAAAAGGCCTTTGTTATTCGTGCAATGAGAAATTCACGCCAGGCCACAAGTGCAAGGGTAAGGAAGTATTTTTGTTAGAAATTGAGGAGGATTGTGAGGAAGAAAAACCACAGGAGGAGTCCTTGTTGCATATGGTTAAAAGCAAGAAGCGTGGTCCAAAGATGATCACATTCACGACTGAAATTAGGGGCAAATTTGTGGAAGTATTGGTTGATAGTGGGTCTACGCTGAACTTCATTGATGAGAAGCTGTCCAAAGAGATTGAGATTCCATTCACCAAGGTAAAACCTTTTGGAGTCAAAGTAGCAAACGGTGAAACACTCCGAGGGGATATTCTCTTCAAAGGTGTAAAGATGGAGGCTCAAGGTCAAAAGATGAGAGTCGATTTATATGCCTTGCCATTGAAGGCGATAAATATAGTACTCGGATGCCAGTGGTTGGAGACACTTGGTCCAATCACAACTGATTATTGGAAAGGAACTATGGAGTTTGGGAGATCGAGTAAGAGGGTCAAGTTGAGGACTGAGGATCCAGGCGAGTCACCCGACGAGGATGAAGATGATGGTCGAGTTCGGAAGCTGAATTTTCTTATCCTTGGGGACAAGGAAAGTCTCAAAGAGGAGGGGAATGATACGGAAGTGGAGGTTAGCGCCTGCGAAGTTAGTGAAATTGGGAAGCTAAAATGCGAGAGGGGTGCATCGGACCTTATGCACATAGTTGGGAGAACAAGCGTCGCACGCGGGTGGTGACGGGTGCACGTGGTTGCACTGTAGGCGAGTTGGGCACTGGCGGTAGCGGGGACGTGCAAGAGAAGACTGGCGGTAGCGGGGCGCGCACAAGAGCGCGCAAGTGGAGCACAAGCGCGGGCGTCCGAGACCGAGCAGGCATAGGAGTGAGGGGCGGCAGCAAGCATGCGCGCGAGGAGTCTGGACGGGGGGATAGGCGCGCAATGGCGCACGAGTGGACGACATGCGCGGGTATAGGCCTATGCGCGGTAGGCATAGGAAAGGGGTGCTGGCACGCACGCGCGGGGGATAAGGCGGTGACGCTGGGCGCGCGTGATCATGGATCGTGTTGTTATCTATACGAGGGTTGTGAATAAACGCACACTAGGGCCTTCGTTTATCCACGATAGGTGTATCTAACAGACGCACTATCAGCCTTTCCTAGACACCGTGACTTCAAGACGCACTAATGGCCTTCTCTCCGACACTGTATGTAAACACGCACTAACGGCCTTTTTTAAACACACGTAAGAACATAAGTTCCCCTCTCAATTGGCTCACCAATTCAATACTCAATTCAAGACATCTAATAATGATGAGGTACATGGGGTATTTATTGGTGCATAAAATAAATCTAAGCCTAAATAAACTAGATCTCCTAAATCTTCCAATAATAGAAATCCTAACACTAGAAAGCAATAAAATCCTACTACAACCAAAACACTATTGCTTGGCTTGCACACCAAGCAATTCTAGAAGCTCTCCAAGTCTTCACATGCTCGAATCCTTAGCCGCCCTAAATCCCTTCCGCCGCCTCAACGCGTCGCCTACTCCTCCTCGCGCTCAGCATCCCGTGCGCTGCCCCCACACGCGCATGTCTTCTCGCGCATCACGCCCCTGCCGCATCCCGCCTGCGCGTGCTCACCCGTGCCCAGTACTCCTACGCCCGCTAGGTCGCGGTCTTCGTCCGCGTGTCCCCCACTTGCGCGCTCATCGCGCACCCCGTCCCTGCCGGCTTTTCCTCGCGTGTCCGCTCCTTCCAATCCTAGGCCCACTAGGCCTAGGCCCTTGTACGCGTCCGCGCCACCGTCTTTGTGCCCCGCGGTAACCCCTCGCGTACCGCCTACGTCCGGGCCCCGATCACCTATCGCACGCCTATGCGTGCATCCGCGTACACCCAGCGCCGACCGCGTGCGTTCATCGTTCCGCGCACCAATCGCCCGCATGTTGGCCCCGTTGACCGCACACCTGCGTGCATCGTCTCGGTCATTCGACCCTTTGCGCGCATCAAGGCACGATGTGCGTCCTTCGCTCATGCTCGCACCCTCGTCGCCAACCGACCTCAAGTGCTCGCCCGATTCCTTTAGCTCTCTCGACGGCCATGGATCCCATCCATCAAACCCAATACAATCACCAGCTCGCCAAATCCAACCATCCTCCATTCTACTCTTACCTCGCCTTCGAGCCTCCATCTTGCGAACTCGCCTTTTCCTTGCACAAGACTTGCACCAACACTTCCCTTCTTTAGCTTTCGTCTTGTCTTTCCTTCGAGCTCGTTTGGTCTTGCGTCTTTTAGGCTTCAGCTTAGCTCGTGGACCACATCCTTTCGGCTAATCCCCTACACATGATGGCCGGTAAATAGGACTAGATGGCTCTTCCAACATATTTTCTAGCCAAATATCGAGACCATCGCCACCTTCATCCTCCGACTCACCTGGGTTGATGACCACTTCCGTATCAGCGCGCACAGGCGCGCGCGTGCGACGCGTGAAGGGCGCACGATGTGAGGCGGCCGAAAGGATTTGGGAGCAAAAGACTTGGAGCTTCTAGAATTGCTTAAAGTGCAAGTCAAGCATTAGTATTATAGTAATATTAGGATTTTATTGCTTTTTAGTGTTAGGCTTAGATTTATTTTTGCACCTATAAATACCCCATGTACCTCATCATAATTTTATGTCTTGTCTTGAATTGAGTATTGAATTGGTGAGCCAATTGTGAGGGGAACTTTATGTTCTAACGTGTGATAAACAAGGCTGTTAGTGCGTGTTTACATACAGTGTCGGAGAGAAGGCCATTAGAGCGTCTTGAAGTCACAGTGTCTAGGAGAAGGCCGATAGTGCGTCTGTTAGATACACCTATCGTGAGTAATCGAAGGCCCTGAGTGCGCGATTATTCACAACCCCGTATAGATAAAAATTCAATCCGTCATCACCTCGCCATGCCTAGTTCCGCGAGGACTAGGTCTCGCGCGTTCGCTGGCCACTCGCGCACACCCGTTCGTGCCCCGCTGCTGCCATTCCTCTCGTGCGCGTCCCAGCTACCGCCCGCGCCTCAATCGCCTACGGCGCATCCGCGTGCACCCATCGCCACCCGCGTGTGCTCTGCCTTACCGCGCGCATAAAGGCACGATGCACGCCATTCGCATTTTAGCTCTCCCTTTTCACTAGCCTCGAAGGTGCTAACCTCTACATTCCCCTCCTCTTCAAGACTTTTCTTGTCCCCAATGATAATAAAATTCAGCACCTCCACATTACTATCACTGTACTCCTCAATAGGTGAATCGCCTTGATCCTCAGTCCTTAACTTAAATCGCTTTCCTGGCCGTCCAAACTCCATCTTTCCTCTCTTATAATCGGTCATTATGGGCCCAAGTGTCTCCAACCATTGTACGCCCAATACCACATCAGTAGCCTTAAGCGGTAAAGCATAGAGATCGATTTCCAACTCTTGATCCTGAGCCGTAATTGGAACCTTCTTGAATAACTGATTACCTTGAAGTTCATGTCCATTGGCTACCTTAACCCCAAACTTCTTGACCTTGGTGGGTTTCAGCTTCAGCCTCTTGGCTATACTTTCGTCGATAAAATTCAAACTCGACCCACTATCCACCAATACTTCCAACAGTATATCCTTTATTTCAGCAGTAAATCTAATCATCTTTGGACCTTGTTTCTTGCACTTAACCACGTGTAGTAAAGCCTCTTCGTGTGGTTCTTCTTCCTCCTCAAATTCCAACAAAAAGACCTCCTTACCTTTGCACTTGTGGCCTGGTGTGAATTTCTCGTTGCATGAATAGCAAAGGACTTTTTCTCATCGTTGCTGCATTTCTTTATCAGTAAGTCGTCGTATGTTGCTCGTTGTGCTCACAGCCTCGCCCAACGGCTTGTTCTCGATTCGCGCTACTTGTTCCTCAGTTTCGGCGTGCGTGCGCTTAGTCTCCGTGCGCACGTCGCTCGGCCTTACCTTGCGTACTGCCATGAGATGATCTTCATGCAATCTAGCCGACTCCATAGCTGCGCATCGATCCTGGCCTATCCAACCTTACCTCAGCCGCTAATTCAGCTTTTAGACCTCCAACAAACGTACCTACCAGTGCACTCTCAGGCCAATCCCGTACTCTGCTAGCAATACGCTCGAACTCCTTTTGATACTCCCTTAGGCTACCAACTTGCTTAATTCTGGACAAAGCCTCATTGTAATCGTGGTAGTCACTAGAGCCAAACCTCATGATGAGCTCCCTTTCAAAATCCCTCCAACGCATGTGCTCACCCTGATTTTTGTGCAAGACCCATTGCCACCATATGTTTGCTTCTGCATCAAGATGATAAGCAGCAATTTGAACTCTTTCGTACCTTGGCACGTCATTGATCTCAAAGAATTGCACAGCTCGACTTAACCATGCATCCGGATCTGTTCACGTGAACGTGGGCATAACAATTTTCGGTCGTGCACTTGCCCATTCGTCCTAGTGTTCATCGCGATCGTGGCGTCGGTTATCGCATCCTTTGCGTCGTCGTCGATCCTCGTCGTATCGCTCTCAGTTGTTGCGTCGTGCCCGGCGTTCATCGCGTGTGGCCCGCGATGCGTACGATGCGTACGACTGCCGATCGTAGTCCTCTTCGCGCCTCCGATGATGGTGTGCGCGTTCCTCAGGCCGTCGTCGTTCATCGTGGTGGTGGTCCGCGCGCGATGCGCGTGTGCCCCTCGATCGGCAATCGTCCTCGTGCTCGGTCCCGGTGCTTGTCGCCGTGGACCTTGTATCGTGACGCCTCCTTGGTCGTGTGTGCATGTGGGTGAGCTGCCCGGCCAAGTCCTGGACCATCAGCTCAACCCTCTCCAAGTTCTCGTTGGTGACATGCTGGCTATCACCAATGATCTTCATGTTGTCTTCCAATGCATGAATTCTCTCGCAGTTTGACATCAGGATCCTTTATTTTTCTTTTTTTACTCTAGAAAAATCAAAAACAATTCGAACCAAAAAATTTAAAAAACAAAGAGAAATTCGGCCCCTCAACAAAAGGTAATAACCGAAAAAATATAAAACAAAGGACTAGATGACACTTTTTTTTAAGACTCAATTTCGAAAAATATAGGGAATATTCGAAAAATATGAATCCCCAAAAATCGAACCAAAGGAAGAGAAATTCGGTCCCTCAGCAAAAGACAAACCGAAAAAAAAAGAAAAAGATAGGATAGACAAAAATTCGATCAGCACCTCTCAATGAAAGCACCAACGATGACGGATCGGATTTTTGTCTATACTTAGGTTGTGAATAAACGCGCACTCAAGGCCTTCGTTCACTCACGATAGGTGTATCTAACAGACTCACTATCGGCCTTCTCCTAGACACTGTGACTTCAAGACGCTCTAATGGCCTTCTCTCCGACACTGTATGTAAACACGCACTAACGGCCTTGTTTATCACACGTTAGAACATAAAGTTCCCCTCACAATTGGCTCACCAATTCAATACTCAATTCAAGACATGACATAATGATGAGTACATGGGGTATTTATAAGTGCTAATTACCTCTAATGCTAATCTTAATAGGAAACTAATAAAATAATAAAATGTTAAATCCTAAGGTAAGTAAATATCCTACTACCACAAAATCATAAAGCTACTAGATCTCCTAATTACTTAGCTTGCACTCCAAGAACTTCTAGAAGCTCAAGTCACACGCCTCATGTCTTCGACCGCCTCACGCACGCCGCCTCCGCGCACGCCGACTTGCACGTTGCCTACTCCTTGTGCTGCTAGGCGTTGCGCGCCTTGCCTTGCACGCGCGCGCATCTCGCACATCACGCCCCTGCCGCGTCCCGCCTACGCGTGCGCGCCGTCCCTTCGCCATGCCTAGTTCTGCGAGGACTAGGTCTCGCGCGTCCGCTGGCCACTCGTGCACACCCGTTCGCGCCCCATGGCTGCCATTCCTCTCGTGCGCGTCCCAGCTACCGCCCGCGCCCCAATCGCCTACGGCGCATCCGCGTGTACCCATCGCCACCTGCGTGTGCTCCGCCTTACCGCGCGCATCAAGGCACGATGCGAGCCATTCGCATTTTAGCTCTCCCTTTTCACTAGCCTCGTAGGTGCTAACATCCAC